CCCCCCCCCCCCCCTCCCCTTATCCCGCTGCGCGCCTGCCCCCCGCCGTGCGCCAACAAACTGTTTTTTCCCGACCTTAAATCCTCACCCATAAACTACGACCGGCGGCCGTATCATCGATATCTCAGGACCCCAGCGCCTTCGAGCTCGCGCTGGCGCAGGTCGACTGGGACTCGGCGTCCATCCGGGGGGTGATCGTCAACTTCGTCTGCCGGAGCCTCCTGTGGGGCTCTTGGGTCACCCACCACTTCTACGCGATCGTCAAGGCGAAGGGTCCCGGCGACAGCGACGACGGACTATCCCCCGGATGCGGAGAGGGGGCCCCGCAAGCTGCACCGGCGGGGGAAGGGGGCGCGACGAGACATCTCGAATGCGGTGGTGGTGGTGGCGTTGGTACGGGTGCAAGGGCTGACGGCGAAAGGGAAGGGGACGCCGGGGAGCAGACGGGCTGCTTCCAGCAGCTCAGTCCGTCGAGACGGAGAGAGAAGGACAACCAGGCCCGAACTCGAAACCGAACCAGCAGCAACCAAGGCTCTTGTTGCGGTTCGGACGGTGGGGGGGCGGGGGGTGCGGCTTGGTACAGCCTCGATTCCAGGATACCGAAGCCGCTGCGGTTGGGGGGGACGCGCGGCCTAGTGGAGCACCTGGCCTGTGAAGTACGGGAACACCATGGACACGTATTTGTGGTTGGCGAGGGGGCAGAGGAAGTGGCAGGGGTGGGCAACGATAATGACGGTCACGTAGGCACAGCGGAAGCTCGCGTTTAGATATGCGGCTATGCTGAGGGCGGGTGGGGTGCGGTAGGCCCCGCCTGGGTGGTTTATACTCGTTCACAGGTCACGCATTTTTTTGCTGAGTGGAGATTTTGTGAGGCTTTAGATGCCTTGAGGATCGTATTCAGTATGTACGTCAGAAGAACCAAGGGGTACGGGCATCTACACTGCTGTCGTGTGAAAACCGACAACAACGAGGGCCAATTAGGTACATAGCCTGACCACAACCTTGCCTAGACTTTCGTCAAACAAGTGTCTGGCCCCCTTTGCTGCGAGACGGTACAAACTGGTGGCTTTTACAAGTGCACCGACCGTCGCCGCCGCTGCCGCCGCACCCTCTATACGTTTCGCCTTTGTGCCGTGGCCCCAGTCTCAAGAATCAACCCCCAGGCATGTCATCTGCAGCTGTTCGCTACTGTTTTGTGCCGATCCCGACTTGCCCCCCGAGCCACAGCCAGTCGATGGTAACTTCAGGTTTTCTGTCAAGTCAGGTCTCAATGTTGGACAAACACCCACCAGGCATTTTTTCCTTTCCGTGTTTTTGTTTTCAGCGGCCTAAACCATCTACTCTCAAAGTCGCAATGAAGGATGAGGACCAAGTGTCCGAGCTAAGAATAATAACGGCGGCGACGGGTCGGGGGAGAGAGAGAGATCTGCTTGTCTGTGCTTGTCATCATCTTGTCTTGATGCATCACCCGGGGTCGGTATCACGGGAGGAAGGCCAGGCAGGAATTTCTTGTGTTTTGACTGTCCTTCTGCTTAGCGGCGCTTGTTCGTTCCTTCCTTCCTTCCCCTCCTCAGGCGTAAAGTCGAATTTGTTGGGTAACACGTGAACGAATCACTTGCCCACGTTTTCTTCGTTGAGCGGGCGTAAGTCGAGCAAGAACCCAGTTCGTTTGACTGCGCCCAGAATCGAAACCACCTCTGCTCAAGAAGGTGACCGCGCGGAAGAAGACTGTTCCGAAAGGAGGCGGTTTGGAATATAATGCTCTTGAAAATTTTTTTCATAGCAACATGATCCACAAGTTCTGACGAAGGCACCGTAAACGCTACCCGTGTAGTCGCAAGTTGTCTGAATCACTCGGCCACGGCTGCTGTGTGTGGCGACAGTGTGGCATCTCGCATCATCGAAAATACTATATTGAAAGAAGTGATAAGAAAGCTTTTTTTTTTGCTCCAGAGAGCAACGGAGAGGATATGCATGTATGAGGATAAGCTTCAAGGTAATATTGATGGAGAATCTCGTCTCAGATTACCCCGCCCCTTTTGTAAAGAACCGCGACGCCCCCGAGCCTCCGACGAAAACTTTACGCTGGAAGGTTGAATCTTTCTTGCACTTCGATTGAAACCTATGACGTCACTCACGACGCCGGCTACAAATCGTTCATGCCCAGCCCCGCTGCGGTATAGCTCAATTTCATCTATCTGTTGGCCCCCTGCAAAGGTTACACCTGTGAAAAGAAACTTCACGCAACCTTACTCACGAGCAATGTGTAACAGCAGTCGCGAAAGAAAAGATGACGGCCGCGGCCACTGGTCACACGATCGGAGCAGGGCGGCTAGACGTTATGGTTTTCGACACCTTCCATCGCCCATGCTGAGGCGGCACGACTTGGAAGCATTTTCGGCCAATCAGAGAGAGAGAGCGGTAGCATTTGTGCGCCGGATGCCATGTACGAAATTTGCCGTCGTTGGGGTCAAAACCGCGTTGGAGCAACAACCACCGACTGTATTAACTTCGGCGCCTGGCAGGCGCAGTCAAGCGTTCGACGAGAAGAAAAAGAGAAACCAGTATGCTGGCTGAAAGGAAATTAATTGTGCTCGATTCATTCTGACCCACCATTCACAAAACTAATCGACTCATCCTGGCATATTCATCGTGTTCGTTGGCCACGCGTTTGCTTCTTTTCAGGGCCGCACACGCAGCAGAGCGCAGTAACCCTCTGCGGAGACCCCCTATCAACACATCCCATGTGGTATCTGCATAACACCCACTCACATTCACAACTATATCGCGGCAAGACGTGCGAAACCAATATATGCTGAAAGTCAACCAAGCCGTGCTATTTCCCTCACATGACAAGAACAACATAAAGAAGAACCACGACTAGAACAAAGAAAGAAACAAAGACAGAAAGAAACAAAACAAAGAACAAAAGGAAGAAGGACGAAAAGAAAATGATTATGCATGACATCACTGATCGGTCCCGGACGACTACAACAACGACAACAGCTAACACTGAAATGTCGCGCGCGGCATGTGAAATGGCCCGCACCAAGACAAGAGACTGCATCAAGGCACAAGTACTACACACAGAAACGCACACAAAACGCCACCCACACCACAACACAGACCCGGCCTGTCACTCAGACGTTTCGTCAAAACGTGCAAGGCCGGCGATACACGAACGAGACAAGAGCACAAAAATATGGAATCTACAAACCGTCGAGACCTTCTCTAACGCGACGAGAAAACAACAACAAGAACAACAACAACTGCAACAACGACCAGCTTTGTTCAACTAATTCAGACCCGAGCAAGACAACCCTGACCAGGCCAGGCAGCAGCTTGGGCAACAACCAACACACCACACGGCTACAACCAACACACTTTTCCATGGGCGGAAACTGCAACGACAAATTTCAAGGAAAGAAAATCGAGTGGACAATCAGACAATCAGACCCATTCGAGGGAAACAAACACACCAAACCAACCCAGCGTACTAGAAACCACCCAGCCCAAGAGATAACAATCACCAACCGATATCGCCTGTCTTCCTTCTATTCCTAATTTCCCGAACGCTCGCGCACCTGCTTGGCATACACCGCGGTTCTGTGGTAGCTAATTATTGGGATCCTCCTCCGCTCACACGAACACCCCCCCCCTGGTAGCTTCATTTGGTCTACTCTGACACGCGCCCTCCCCCCCCACGCCCCCTATGATAGACATGCTTACAAACAGCGAGAGGCACAAGCATGAGCGAAACTATGCACGTGTAAAAGCATGTACCCCCCCCCCCCCCCCC